TAGATGCCATTCCCTGGAACCATCAAATAATGGTTAGTGTCGGAAAATGCCCTTCAGTTTTTAAAAGGAATACTTATTAATATATTTGACTCCAAAATTGATATCAAAAAAGTTTACAAGCTTATACAAATTTTAAAGGTGCCAATAAAATATATACTAATATTTTAGTTTCCTTTTAACACACAGAGGATAAGGAAAATACTAATTAAAACTTTCCATTGTGGCTAGGTACATTGGCTCACACCTGTAACCCCAGTACTTCAGAAGGCCAAGGCTATGGATCATTTGAACCCAGGAGTTCGAGACCAGCCTGAGCAATGTGGCGAGACCCCCATCTCTACAAAATTAAGAAAATTAGCTAGGTATGCTGGCGTGCCCAGAGGCTGAAGCAGGAGGATACTTTGAGCCTGAGAGGTGGAGGTTGCAATGAGCCATGATCATGCCACTGTACTTCAGCCTGGGCGACAGAGTGAGACCATCTCAAAAACAAACAAAAACTCCCAACTTTCCACTGTAAGGTCTAGTGACCTTTTCTTCTAAAGGTCACATTTCAGACTATACAAACAAATCCCCAATATATCACCATTAAATAATTTGTTCAGTTCAGTCATAAAATATTATAATATTACACCTATAGGGTATGTGTGCATTTGAAACACAAAATTCTACTTAGTTAATTATAAACTCACAATTGCTGTCAAGACAAATAAGAATTTTTAAATGAAAATCTAAAAAACCTTGATCTCACTTTTACAAAAGAGCATCTAGAAAGCTGTTATTCACATGACCCATACTAAGTTAAATACATATTGGAGGAACTAAATCCTATTGCTTAGAACTCAGATGTGAAGCCTCAATGCTAAATCCCTACTATTTCAAAATTCAACTATGAAATCATCTAACTATACATTAAGAGCACGGAAGTAAAATAAACTATTCTACACATAAATAAAATATATTATGCATATATTAACATCTTGATATATTGTAAAATGAATGAACAATTCACAAAACAATATGCATAACACAATGTAACTTTTCTTAAATAAAAAAGATGTTATGTTTATATATAAGCTACAGATCAGAAATAAGAAAACATTAAAGGTTGGTGCAGAGGTGAACATGTGAGAGAACACAGTCATGGGTTCTTAGTTGCTGTTTCTGGTTGGGCCAGTAAAGTCCCTTACTCATACTTTTCCGCTTAGCACTAAAGACAGAAACTAAAAATCATGGTTTCAGGCTGCTAAAAGCCTAACAAAACACAAGAGAACAACAACAGTAAAAAATAAGGTGAGTTGAACAAGCTTGTTTTACAGTCTGGTCTGGATTTGAATGCTAGTGCCAACACCTGCTTCCAGGCATTCTAATTTTAGTAGTCGATATTACTCATGCTATTAACTGTTCTCAGCTTCAATTTCTACATTTTGTAGTGGTGGACAGTAATACTTTCATCTAATGGGACTGTTGTGAAATAAATGAAATAATATATATATAAGGCTTGGCACAATTCCCTGATTCACTATAAAGGTTAATGACGGTATTTATTTTTGTGGCCCAACCTCACTTTTAAAATAAATTCTCTGGTACCACTTTGGATTCAGAAGGACCAAAGGATTTCTCCTTACAGAGATATAGGTTTGTATAACACATACCTTTGGTGATTAGTAAGAGAAAAGCCTTAGGGAAAAAAATAGGTAATCATAAAAATAATTTCAGATGTATTAAGTATATAATGCACTCTACATATAATTTAATGTTATAATCTACTATATCCCAGAATATTAAAAATCAGCTTGAAAAAACCTTTTATAAGTCCTTCTCCTGATATGAATTAAAGCTATAATTAAGTATACTAAAATGTTTCAGTAGCCAAGAAACTCCTATAACTAATCTTTAGGGAAATAAATTTCAGATTCTGAAAAGCTGCTCAATGTACATTTCAGGCTGTATTTTCAAGTCACTCTTTCTGAAAGCATGCTTAAAATTCTAGCTTTCCTTTATCTCACTGCTTGAACATTCCATTAATTATCTGATTTCCCTCCCTCCCTCATTCCCTCCCTTCCTCCCTCTCTTCCTTCTTTTCTTTTCTTTTGTTTTCTTTCCTTTTTTTTTAAAATTATACTTTAAGTTCTGAGATACATGTGCAGAATGTGCAGGTTTGTTACACATGTATACACGTGCCATGGTGGTTTGCTGCACCCATCAACCTGTCATCTACATTAGGTATTTCTCCTAATGCTATCCCTCCTCTAGCCTCCCACCCACTGACAGGCCCTGGTGTGTGATGTTCCCCTATCTGCATCCATGTGTTCTCAATGGTCAACTCCCACTTATGGGTGAGAATATGCAGTGTTTGGTTTTCTGTTCCTGTGTTAGTTTGCTGAGAATGACGGTTTCCAGCTTCATCCACGTCCCTGCAAAGGACATGAACTCATCCTTTTTAATGGCTGCAGAAATAACGTCACACATCTACAACCATCTGATCTTACACAAACCTGACAAAAACAAGCAATGGGGAAAGGATTCCCTATTTAATAAATGTGAAACTAGACCCCTTCCTTACCCCAATACAAACATTAACTCAAGATGGATTAAAGACTTAAACATAAGACCTAAAACCATAAAAACTTTAGAAAACCTAGGCAATACCATTCAGGACATAGACATGGGCAAAGACTTCATGACTAAAACACCAAAAGCAATGGCAACAAACGCGAAAATTGACAAATGGGATCTAATTAAACTAAAGAGCTTCTGCACAGCAAAAGAAACTATTATCAGAGTGAACAGGCAACAGAATGGGACAAAATTTTTGCAATCTATCCATCTGACAAAGGGCTAATATCCAGAATCTACAAAGAACTCAAATTTACAAAACAAACAAACAAACAATCCCATCAAAAAGTTGGCGAAGGATCTGAAGAGACACTTCTCAAAAGAAGACATATATGCAGCCAACAAACATATGAAAAAAAGCTCATCATCACTGGTCATTAGAGAAATGCAAATCAAAACCACAATGAGATACTATCTCATGCCAGTCAGAATGGCGATCATTAAAAAGTCAGGAAACAACAGATTCTGTCACTTCTTAATCTTGTGGATTGGAAGCTTAAATTTTTCATCTTTGAAAAGAATCTCCCACTCATTGATTTAGTTTTTGTACCAAATCTCAAGTCAGCATTTCCATTTATAGGCAGAGTAGTTATCCAATTCAAAAATCTGTTTCAAGTCTTTCTTCCACTAAAGACTATTTGGCTATTTTCCTCTAAATGTTTTCAGTCAAATTATTCTAAAAGAACAGGAATATTTGTAAAGATTAAAGAACAGGTATAATTTTAAAACATAGAGGAGTAGAAGAGTGTTATTAAATGCCAAGAAATGAGCAATCACAGCAAGCTGCTACTTAAGACATTAGTCAATAATGTATTTTAAAAAATAGGGCATATGCTTTTTATAATCTTATTTAATGCTTAAGTTTCCCTTATACACTAAAATGAAAGTTGAAAAATAAAAGCATCTTTAATAAAAAAAGAAATAATCCAATTAAAAACCAAAAAATGTCAATGATTTTCTGTTAGCCTTCAACATTGCAGGTACGTTAGGTAGGCTTAAGTAATTTACATTACTATGTTAACTGAAGTATGTTAACCATTACCACTGTCCCTCCGTACTCTCAATGCAAGGTACTTTCTATATATATGCTGGATCTTTCTTATGGTGTTAACTTCAGGTCTTGGTATTGTCAGTAATTACACTAAACTCCAGTAGATATAATAATGAATTTTATTTATAGCAATAACCATGCTTTTGAAGCAATGAACATTATAATAAAGCATCTTTAAACACAGATTGAGAGAAAAATTACTAATCTAAATTCATAGTAATTTCCTACAAAGAGCTTCCATATCTCTGTATGGTTAGTTTTCAATAAAGTTCTTAAAAAGATGCTTCTAAGATGATTTTGTCAAGACTACAAGATCAACTGAATGGAAAATAGTACCATATTTGCAAACAAAATCTGGCCATCCACGGGAACTAAAAGTAGGAAGCCTCGTAACATGACTGTTACCTCCAAGGATCATTTTATGTAAGTCCTTCAGTATGTCACCAGCTTACCCTAAAAGTTATCACAGAACAAACTGAAACAACTTGGATATAGGTAAAAGTAGATTATTTTGTTTATTATGATATTTCAATTGGGAACAGTTAGAGAGGATAAACTGAAAATGTAGTTGGCTAACACACTAAAGAAAGTGGAGACAATCAGATTTTGACACACTGTCTAAAATTAGTATATCAATAATAATAAAAAAATATTGAAGTCTTATTTTGTTTGAATTTCAATTAGCATACATACATACTGGTGAAATATGTATGCTTAACTTTAAAACATTAATGTATAGAATTAAGATTATGATTCAGTTACGTACTTATTATTTTAAATGCATGCCTATAGCTATTTCAAATAGAATAATTTTAGGGTTAAACTCCCAGGCTCTGAGGTTGGAATCTTTAAAAAGTAAATAAACATTTTTCTACTAAAATTTTACGTACTTTACTTCCTACAACAGTTTTCTAACAGTTCAAGTCAATTTCACACTAGGTGACCATGCATGAATGATATGTGGAATTAGTGGTCACACAAAAGGGAAAATTTGATTGATCATATATAATTATAATTTATGTAAATTATTTAAAATATTTAAATATTTAAAAATACATAATTAGCCCATTAATTGGCACATGCGTTAAAAAAAGAAACCTTATAAAAACTTGCCTGTCTTCTGAAAGTGTACTGACAATGTGTAGGAGGGCCATTTTTTTGTTAACAGAAATTTTTTTTCTAGTTTAAATTCATCACGAAATTACAAACTTTCACTACAGTAAAAACGGAAGTAAATGAATAGTTAATTCAATATTTATGATTAGTCAAGTATTATATAGTTAGTAATTTTAAACAAAATCATTAAAGTTTACAGATAAAGGATATCACTTACAAGCTGCTCTGACTTTACACTGTATAACTGGATGGTCTTTGCCACATTTTTTGACACAGCTAATGTGAGGTTTGTATCAACAGCAGCAACATTTAGTTCACTGGAGAAAATAAAAACAGTTTTTAAATATTAGCACCATCGTTCATCAACAAAGTAAAGAGCAAGATAAAAACTCAAACCCAATAAGCAATATGGTTATTCTTTTTATAGATTTCACTGCTTCCAAGAACTGGTTGCATTGTTTCATTTTACCACCTAAATTCAGTATTAGGAAAATGTGCCTGGAGACAGCTTCCTTAATGACCAGTTTCTCATTAATAAAAGCATGTCATATGTGGGTTCAGTCTGTCATTAAAGGAGTAAATCGTGTACAGATTTTTAAGGTCGCACTCTTGGTAAGACTGACAAAGTGCAATTAGAGGCATTGCATATCACAGACATCTGCAAGGAAATGACAGCTCTTGAATGGCAATGATGACCTTGAACGGACACAGGCTAAAAATATAAATTACACATGATACATACTCAGTTTCTGTAGAAATTATGCCAATTCATGCTAGTTTGAATAGAGTAGCTTTTTAAATAATATAAAAGCATAGCAGGTCTATAATTACAAATTTTTAAAATTCGGATTCTTAAAGTATTTTTTTGTCATGCTTCTTTTCAACTTTAACATTGGATTAATTGGGGCATTTGATCTGACGGCCAAAAAAAAAAAAAGGTATTTTATAAAGACCATGGAAAGAATACTAGAAATTAAAAATCATATAGAAACCCATATACAGATGGAAAGCAAGAAAAGTAATTACTGTCCCTGAAGTAGTAGAGTAAATCTTACCAGATTCTCTTTCTAAAGAAGTTGGAAGAGTTTGAAGCAATACTAGTGCATACTATGTGTAACAAAAATGCACTTTCATATAGTATTGAGACATAATTTTGTTAATGTTCACTTTTAAATTTTATTAAACACTACCATAAGCATGATTCTTCCAGCTGTAGATTATATTTGATTATAGCATTGTCAAGTTGCATAGAGGAATGGGAGAGATTCCTCTTTAATATTTACATAAACAGGTCAAAGAGATCAAGTTACTAGGACCTAGTCAGAACTTTGGAAAGTCAAGGCAATTGTGGAGAGATTTAAGACCAAGATGCTGGGCAATCTAGATAATTTGTAGGTACATCTGCAGCAAAAGATATGCTTATGTATATTATTATACATGTGGCTTTTTATTTTTTGAGACTCACTCTTGTCAGCCAGACTGGAGTGCAGTGGCATGATCTCGGCTCACTGCGGCCTTCCCCTCTCGGATTCAAGCGATTCTCATGCCTCAGCCTCCTGAGTAGCTGGGGTTACAAGCATGCGCCACCAGGCCCAGCTAATTTTTGAATTTTTACTAGAGATGGGGTTTCACCAGGATAGTCTCGAACTCCTGATCTCAGGTGATCCACCCACCTCCACCTCCCAAAGTGCTGGGATTACAGGCGTGAGCCATCATGCCTGGCCACCTGTGGCTTTTTTAGTCTTACTCTTCCATACCTCAGAATCACCATCTTCAAATCTTTAAAAGAATTTAGACCTCGGTCTCATACTATTTTTTATTCCTTAAAATATCCATCTCAAATGTACAGATCTACTATTATGACAACTTGTTAGTCATGACAGAAACAGATAATTTCAACTGCAAATTAGTCTGGACAACTTTTAAATAAGTGTCTAAAGCCAACAGTATATAATTACATTGTCTGCAGGCATTCAGGTGGCACCTCTGCTATGATACCCTCCCTTTTTAGAGTCCTAAAAGCTGTCACATTCACTTAAAAAGCTTAAAATAGCAAACGCAAGCTAATCAAACTTATATTCTTATTTCTGCCATGAAGCACCTTCTGGAGTTTAGGATAAAAAAAATTAACCTGCATGTTTTAGTTTCTCAATTTATAAAATCATTTATTGTATTTGATTTCTTGTATAATGTAAGAAATTTACTATGGTATAAACAGCTAGGTTTACTTTGCATCCTTGGCAAGATACAGAATAATTATAACAGACTATTTTTAGACTATATTTAAGGTATTTAAATTATTTTATTAATTGGAATCTCAAGTACTTACTATGTGTGCACTCATTTACTGTAAAATTCTTAATTGTGGGCCTAATTACTTGAATAATTTGAAAATAAATTAAAGATGTACTGCTATCATATATCACTAACAAATATGGCAGTCATCTTATATGGCATGCCACTATATAAAAAATACATACCTTGCTATAGTTTTAATAATACCATCAAGTTCATCAGAGGAAGGAGGATTACGACCACCCGGGGGAAAAACCAAGTTGATAGGATCGAAGAGTCGAGATAAGGATTTTGATAGATAAGCAGCCTCATAGGGTTGTAGTGAGTCTTTCAAAGCCTTTTCTGGACTGTGGAAACAAAATTTTTTAAAAACTAACTTAAAACTGCACAGAACTAAATGCTATTGTATCAGGCTGTAAATATCTTTTTTAAAAACCTCCCATAAAAACATAACTCTATATTAAAAAAAGAAAATCATTTGTTTTACAATGTACATATTTACAAATATATTTCACAATTAAACATTCAGGACTATAGTAACTTTTTTGTTTGTTTGTTTGTTTTGAGATGGAGTCTCACTCTTGCCCCGGCTGAAGTGCAGTGGTGCTATCTTGGCTCACTGCAATCTCCACCTCCTGGGTTCAAGCGATTCTCCTGCCTCAGTCTCCCAAGTAGCTGGGATTACAGCTGTCCGCCACCATGCCCAGCTAATGGATGTATTTTTAGTAGTGACGGGGTTTTGCCATGTTTGTCAGGATGGTCTCAAACTCCTGACTTCAGTGATCCACCTGCTTCAGCCTCCCAAAGTGCTGGGATTACAAATGTGAGCAACTGTGTCTGGCCTATATTAACATTTTAATTTCTACATAAGTCCCCACTATCAATGCACAATAATATGCACCAATACCTACTGTATTATCTGTTTCCTTAAACTAAAGGAGTAACAGTAAAATCCTATTAATGCTAATGGGGGATATGCCTTTACTTGCAAATCCTACTTACAGAGTTATCAAAGCATACGGAAGAGAGACCAGCCTGCAGAGACCTGCTCCATTAGCTTGGCCCTTTCCATCCACAGCTGCCTCCCTAATAAACCTCACTGTCTGAGAGGGAAGTGTACAGACTTAGGTTTTACATTTTCCATTTTTGTGTTCCACTTTTGAGTTATTTTGTGAGACAAAATAAAAAGTATTTGTGAAAGTCCTAAAATCATGTAAATATTCCCAAGTAGAGTTCTGTGCTACTTTGTTTTATAATATTCTTCACAATATCAAACTTAACCTGAGAAATATTTCTTTCCTGCTTGCACTTCCTGTATCTTTTATCTTCCTGTATCCTGAATCATGCTGATTTTCATTTAGTAGTCAAACTATTTGATCTTACACTTTTCTTTCAACAATTACTATCAAATGCCTATAACCACTATTTTCACGTTTCCTTACTCCTATAATTAATTCAGTGTCTTCTCACATCATCCCTGTTTACAATCCTTCTACCAGCTTTTGCATTGTCTTTTTTCTTTTATAAAGAACAAATTTCCCTTCATCTAAAAAGTTAACCTTTAAAACATCTGACCTGCTTCTTCATGTATGTGAAACTTGGCTTTCTCTTTTTCTCACCCTTCTGGTGAACTGATAAGACCTAGAGATCAGAATGCTCTTGGCTCCAACATCATAATTCCATAGTTATCTCTTAATATTTTCTCATTCAATAAGCATTTCACTCAACACATATTTACTGAGAATACTATGCACCAGGCACTTTGTAAAGTGCTGGGAAGATAGAGATTAAGAGTGCTTTAGAGTTGTGAAGAAATTGGCAGGTAAAATGCTAATTATAATAATTTCTTTAATAGATGAAGATACCAAGACCACGATGGAAGCATGAAATAACTTAGTATCTAAATCTGTCTGAAGCAATCCTCTGTTGAAGTCTGAGCCATCTATTTAAATGTCACTATTTGTACTCATGTCATCTACTGACCTCAGAAGCCTCTTACCACTTCTGCAGAAATTTTGGCACTGAATTATAAGAACACTTTCCCATTCTCCAAATCTACCATTAAAGATCTTTGGTGACTACAATGTCAAACATCTTTTCTAAAACATGTCCTATATTAAAAGTCTACATTTATAATAACCTTTATTTTGGCTTTACTAGGGGGCTTCCAAATTTGAGTCATCACTTTGAACTGCTCCACTTCTAAGATCTTCAACCTTAAAGGAAACTTTCTACATGCCCCACCTTCTATCTCTACTTTCCCTTCCACAAATATTAAGTCACTACAGTATTTGCCAAGTATTTCCTAGGTGCAGAACTATAGTAGAGAACTTGGTTTAAAAAAAAATTCCCGGTCGGACCTGGTGGTATGGTGGCACGTGCCTGTAATCCCAGCTACTCAGGAGACGGAGACAGGAGAATTGCTTGAACCCAAGAGGAAAGGGTGCAGTGAGCCAAGACCATGCCACTGCACTCCAGCCTAGGCGACACAGCAAGACTCTGTGGGAAAAAAAAAAAAAAAAATTCCCTGTCCTCTTAAAGCTTACATAGTAACAGGAGAGATATACACAAAAATAAAAATTTAAAATAAGTTAAATATGGAATATGATAAGTGCTAAGAGAAAAATAAAGCAAGAAAGATAGAGAATAATGTTTAAGTCTTTTTTCCTTTTTCATCCAATTTGAGATAGGATGAGGCAAAGGAAGGCTTACCGAGGGGCCCTGAAGGAAAAGAGGTAGCAAATTGTGTAGACTTTCAGGGAAATCGCTTTCTACGAGGAAAGAACAGCAAGTACAAAGGCCCTGAGGAGAGACCATACCTGAGTGTGTTGCCCAGAGAAGCAGATCAAGTAACAGAAGGGTAGTACAAGATAACATCAGAGAAAACAGATGGACTGAGTCATGTTGAGCTTTGTATATCTATAAAGGTGGTATATTTCACTCTAAAGAACTTGTTCTTTGACCTTATTGTAATTTATGCTACGTGACCCCTTCCTGCTTCCAGCCTCCATCAGTCCACCAGGTCTATATCATCCTTTTTCCATAGCCATCATTTCAAGGTACTCTCATTAGCACCCTGATTTTTCCAATTCACCTTCCTTTCAAAGTTCTAAGAAAATATTACTGAGATGTTCTCTGTATCTGCTGCTAAGCTGGCCAAGTACTGCAGAGAAAAAAATGATTTCTACTGGACATTTATACAAACCTCTTTAATATCGAGAGACCTGAAGGTCAAAGTAATAACCTAAAATTCTACTTTTGCAACTCTTCAATCTTTATAGGTGACTTTTTTCTTGGTTTTACCCTAAGAGCAAAACCACTGGCCATCACCTTTCTCAACTTGGCACTTCTCTCATTTTTTCCCCTCTTACAACTTCATCTATTCTCTGTGACTTTCTTATTACTTCAATGAAAGAGATAGCTTCATTCCTTTTTTTAGAATAAAAAATTCCCAGAATAATTTAATCTACCTCTTCTTATCCCATTATCTTTTTACCCAGATCTGATGGCTATACATTACATGTATCATGGCATCACTCTGTACTCCATATGTATAAATATTATGTGTCATTTAAAGAAAAAAGATACGTCAACATAAAAAATTATATAAAGATGTATTCTAAGTAAAAAGGTTTTAATGGGAAATAACATACAAGAAGCAGGATTGCTATCTTGAACCTACACACAGAACAGGGTGGCCTCTGGTATGTTTGGAAAACAAAAGAAAGGCTGGGGTTTACTGGGGAAAGAGGAAGTTACACAAGTTGTTTTCAAAAAAAAGTTCATTGGCACTGGCAGCATCTTAGATAAGAGCTGGTGAGTTCTGACTGGTGAGTGTCAGTAAATTGCAAGGTAGGACTTGTAATTTTAGTGTTATGGTTAGGCCGTTTGGATTGGGCTTGTGAGATAGTGTGTCAGGCAAATGTTCTTGTGTAAGTGGCTAGCTGTCCCTGTGTGACTTGTGTAGTAAGCTGCAGTTTAGAAAAATTTCTTGTGATAGTTCTTGTTATCAGGCAAATCATGTGTGACAGCTCTCCCTTCATGACCCTCCCCCAGCTCTATTTTGCCAGGATTTGACACAAGTGACTCCATGTTGAATCTGACAACTTTCATATATATAATTTACATAGCATACCACCACTTGAATTCAATCACTGAAAGTATACAATTTGATGAATTTCGTATATTCAGAGATCTGTGCAATCATCACCATAGTCAATTTTAGAACATTTTATCACCTCAGAAAGAATTCTTGTATCTTTAACAATAACACTCCACCTTCCTCACTCCATCCCCAGCCCCAATCAATCACTAACCTACTTTATGTTTCTATAGATTTTGCTATTCTGGATTTGCATATGAATGGGATAACATACTGTGTGTGTCTGTGTATGTGTGTGTTTTACTGTCTTCTTTCACTTAGTATAATGTTTTCAAGGTTAATCCACATTGCAGGATGTACAGTACTTCATTTCTTTTTATGAGTAATATTGTATATGTTTTAATTGTAATATTTCATTTTATGAATATAGCACATTTTGTTTACCCATTTGTCTGTTGACAGACATTTGGTTGTTTCCATCTTTTAGCTATCAGGAATAATGCTGCAATAAACATTTGCATACAAATGTCTATGTGAACATATGTTTTTATTTCCCTTGGGTATACACCTGGAGTGAAATTGCTGGGTCATATGGTAACTATATTAATAGTTTGAAGAGGCCGCACATGGTGGCTCATGCTTGTAATCCCAACACTATGGGAGGTTGAGGCAGGAGGATCCCTTGAGCCCAGGAGTTCAAGACTAGCCTGTGCAACAAAGTGAAACCATGGTGCTACAAAAAATAAAGTAATTAGCCAGGCATGGTGGTGCACGCCTGTAATCCCAGCTAGTGGTGCTTACCTATAATCCCAGCTACTCAAAGGGTAAGGCAGAGGACTGCTTGAGCCTGAGAGTTAGAGGCTGCGGTGAGCTGTGATTGCACCACTGCACTCTAGCCTGGGCTATAGAGTAAGACCTAGTTTCAAGAAAAAAAAAAAAAGTTTGAAGAACTGCCAAACCCTTTTCCAAGGCCCTGCACCACTTTAGATTTCCACCAGCAACATATGAGGACAGTAATTTCTCAACATCCTTGCCAACACTTGCTACTATTTGTCTTTTTGTTTACAGACATCCTAGGGGGTGTGATGTAGTAGCTCACTGTGGTTCTGATTTGTATTTTCCTGACCATCTTTTTCATGTGCTTATTGGTCATCTATGTTTTTTGGAGATATGTCTGCTCAGATCCCTTGTCCACTTTTTAATGGGGTAATTTGTCTTTTTATTGCTGATTTGAAAGAGTTCTTT